AATTAAGTATTTCTCGTAGTGACACATCAGCTCAAATTCATATCACTGATAGTGCTCGACGTGGTCCGTATAAACGCTATGAAAAAGACCAAGGTCAAAGAATTGAAAGAGAAACACTGTAAAGTATTTGTTTTTTGGAGTCAAAAAAGACTGTTTTTTGTATTTTAGTCGAAAGTGATAACTTTGAATAGTATTTGTGAAATTCGTCCGTACAAATAAAAACTTTACAGTTATATCTATAATCTGAAAAGAAACTTAGTTGATTGAGCTTGATAAATGATGAAACTATACGAATTTACTTTTCTGCTGACTTTTGAAACATCCTGTAGATTATATTTCAAAGTATATTTTTCTGTATTTAAATCTTGAAAAAATGCAATCTTTATTTTTAGCCAAATGTCTACGCAGATGCACAATGTAAAGGGAGAGTGTGGATCCAAATTTCTATCCAAGATACTTTAACACTTCTTTCAGATCGTATTACATAAAAATTAATGTTATACGGGATACAAATATCTATTGACAATGACAAATTAAAATTTGTTCTTTTTTGTTTAAATAAAGATAGAGATTGAATTACATTGACTTAATGATGTCAAAAAGCTAAAAAATGTATGAAAAATATAAAAATATTTTTCTTTTTATAAAAATTTGCTTCTTTCTTTAGGTTTTTAATTTAATAAATATGAAATTTGAATGATCGCATTATATTCGAATTAATTATAATAACTTAAAATTTGATATTCATTTTAAATAATTAATATACATCAATGATTTATTAATCATTCACTGTCACGGATAAGTGGCACAACTGTTGACTATAATTTTATTAAGGTTTTTTTTTAATCATTATACGAAGTTATATGCATGAAATTTCATCTCTAGATAATTATTAAAGAAAATCTTTATTTTTTAGGTAAGATTATTTTTTTTCTCATTATTTCAAATTGTTTTTACAAAAAGTTGCAATTCAATGTAAGACTTTCATCAATTATAATTTCTTGTTGGTTTTTTTAATCTACAAAGAAAAACAATTGTTTATAGTTTTTAACTCACGAAATGCAAAGAACTGACAAAACAGAAACAAGAAAAGAAGAAATGTCACTTAACGATTGTTAGTAGTCCGTTTTTTTTCTTCCTTTCACCCACAAAGTAAATAGTCATATTCTTTACTTCTTCCATTTACATGAAAAAATTGACTTTGTGGTAAAATTATGACAAAAAAAGTACTTGACAACGACCATTTTTTTCCAACGATTAACAGTAAGTATATATTTTTTTTTGTTTTATAAAAAGAGAAACATTGATTCATCTTGTAACTAAATTTCTAAAAAAAAGAAAGATTATAATCAACCGTTTTCGATCTGACAGATTAATTAACATTTCTTTCATTGCACATTTCAAGTCTCTACTCCTATCCCACAAAAAAGATGAATACATGGAAACATACTCCGAGACATTATCTTTCATAAATGGCAAGGTTTTTTTATTCTTAGCATCCTCTTTTTTGCAAAAAAGTTTTGATGTTTTCTGTCATCATCTACTTGAAAAGTATGCTGTTTTCAGCAATAGGATATAACTAGTGCACCATTTTTTCGAGAAATTGAACTTGCCATTTCTTTTCTTTATTTCACAAGTAGGAATTGAAAAAAAAAGAATTCTGTCATGTCCTGCATTCTGACATGTTCTTTCAAACAAACGAAAATTAGGCATATAGCATAAGGATCTATAGAGAATTTTGGATTGCCAAATAAGCTATTCTTTTATGGGATTCTAGTTCGGTGCAAATGGATTAAAATACAAAGTTCCGTAGTTAACTCTTCCTAGTGATAATACCTGTTACTTCATCAGAAATTGTGAAATCCTTTATGAGGCGCTAGAAAATCATTAAGAAATCTCCGATGAGTCCCTTCAAAAGGCGGAATACTGAGGTATTCATCAGCAATTCACTATCACGTTTCCAGGCAGTGAAGACAAATACTTGAAACTTTCTGATGACTCCCGGCTGATTATCTAGGAAAATTTATGAGTCAATGCAATAACAAATTCACCATTTTTTCGGCATTGGTAAAATTATATAAAAGATCCAAGTTGGAAAATATATAATTGTCTCTTGCGAACGAATTTTCTTTTATAAATGGTTATTATCTTTAAGGCTTCCTCATGAGACTCCTGGATGTCGAGTTGATGTTTCATCATAAATTAACTCTTAGTTCGAGTGATCAGCAACCTAGATCGACGCGACTTCATAAGTAACATTAGCGGAAAGGTTTCTTGAAAAATTGAAATTATTTCTTTTTCTATTAAGTTAATTCCAATTTGTAAGAATTGAAGAACGTCAAACTACTATACAAATGAAAATAGGAATTTATTTTATCGATCATAAGATTACATCTGCAAGCATTACTATATTCGTAGATTTCCTTTAAAATTAATTCCAGATGTCGACGAAGTTCTTCCAAATCTATGTAGTGATTTCTTGATGAGTTATATCAATGGCTTCAAGTTGTACTTTAAATAAAGAGTATTGATTAGGGCTTCCTGAGATAAAAAGATATTTCATAGTATTTGAGTTTATTCACCTCGATCGGAATGTTGCTGTTGAAAATTAAAAATAGTCGCGTAGTGCGAAGTAAGATCTCGATAGATCGTTTAAGTTGATTTTATTGATTGACGAAGTGATTGCTTTGTGGTTCGTTCAATAAAAATAATCTTAAAAGTATCAAGCTATTTTGTAAAATACGATCTAAAATGAATATTGAAGTATATAAGGTAGAAACTTGTACCCATATCCACTCTCCCCTACAGATAATACCATGAAGACGTCATATACTATGACAGATCATCATATGCCTGTTAGAAATGGGTGCAAATGTTGATGTTGGTCTTCCTGCCAGCAGTACCCATACCTACACTTGCACGCACATTATTAATTTACTAAGGAAATATCATAACTAGTTACTGATAATTTGTATACAATAACAAGCGCTTACAAAAAATCAATGAGTATTTAATTTGTTCTCAAAAATAAAATTTGATTTAAACTATGATATTCTAGAATGACATCGGAATCTTATGTTATTGAACGAAAAGCAATTGATATTTCTGGTCGATTAGGTTCATTGTATGATGCATCATACGATAGATTGACTAATAATTACTCCATCGAGGCATCTAACGTTCAAATACTTAACGAACCTTCTATATGTAGAATATTCTCGGGTGATCAATCAATTGATTTAATAACTTATCTTAGAGAAATGGATATCAATGATGATCTTCGACAAAGTATTCTTCTCCGTATGGTTAATCCATCAGGAGTTAGTTCTCTAGTCAATCATAATCAACCAATTCATGCTAATATTCGTTTTCTATATTATTCATACCGAAGTAAAGAAGAAGAATTGAATTTTACAGCTGGAAAATTAGATCAAATTATTCGACTTCCATCTTCAACTCGTGCAACTCATATGATCACCAAAATAATATGGGGCATAGAAATTTTATGCATTATACCAATTTCAAATAATCACTCTATGAAGACTATTGACAATTTACTTGAGACTATTTTCAATCGATTACAAAATAGTAGGGGTAATATCCATCTAACTAACATTGAGAAACGTCAAATTGATGAACTGATTAATGTTACGATATATAGCTCTGAAACATGTATCGACAATCCTAATACATCATTATTAGTTGTTCTGAATAAACTAAATGATTGGCAGAAATATACAAATTTTCATCATCCACTTATCTATACGATGCATTCATTAAGATGGCTTAATAACAATGATCAATTTCCAGTAACATACAATCTGACTGACCAGATTCGTTATGATGTTGAACAAATTCAAACTTTCATCATACCGATAGATACATCGATAAAAGATGTTCAACAGTTGTTAGAGAAAATTCCAGAAACTTTTTCAGATCCTACATTAAATCAACAGTGGACACATTATAAAGAAGAGTTCTCTACTTTATTAGAAACATATGAGAATTGTCGAAAATGTCTTAGAAAAACACTCTCAGATATTCGTCAAAATGCTTGTAAATCAATACAAATCAACAAAATCATATCAGATCCACGTTATTCATCGTTAAAAACTAACTTTAAGGATTTTTATCAACAAATACATCGATGGTTTTCAAAAATGATGTTAATTGAACAATTGATTAATGATCAAATTCAGTATGTTAATATTTTAGATATTATTCCTCATGAACATAGTTTTATGACAATGGAAGATATTGATGCAATATTAAAATGTTCTTTGACAAACAAACATAGTTCTGTAATTCTATGGTATTCAAGTGATCACCTAAAACGAAGAAAACCAGACAAATGGAAAGAAATATATCAACGTTTAATCATAGAAAAACAAAAAACAACACAAGAAACTTCTTGTATTTATGTTGACTTTAGTCCATGTAATAAAAAATTACAAGACTTCAATGTAGTACAGCTACCTATTGAATTAACATCAAAACTTCGACGTGATCATCCCAAAGGTAAGAAATCTGAATGAATGACTTTGCCAGTTTTTCTATCTACACTAAATTATATAAGAACTAAATAATACATTATATCTTACTATAGAGCGACCATTACCATCAGCATCCTCACCAACGCTACACCGATCAACAAAGCAGCGATCCCTGGTATCTTCACTTCCCTCAGAAAGAAAATCATCATCAGTAACTGAAATTAATGTGTTACTTATGGGTGAAACTGGAGTTGGAAAATCAACATTCATTAATGCATTTGTTAATTATTTAATGTTTGATACTCTTGAACACGCTGAACAACATGAACCAATTGTATTAATTCCAGTTTCGTTTCTTATTACGACTGGTGATCAATTTGATGAGTGTACTATTAAATTTGGTGATGTTGATTCGAATGAAAATTATGAACATCAAGGTCAATCAGTAACACAACAATGTAAATCATATGTATTCAATTTAAATGAAAGATTACTTTTACGTTTAATTGATACACCAGGTATGGGTGATACACGT